TGGATTTCGCCGATGATATATGTGTCTGATTTCCCATAAACTGGAAGATATGCAAGTGAAAAGTAACAAGTTGGCAGAAGAAGCATCAAAGATAGGACTTCACGTGAACATGGATAAAACAGAGATGATGAAGATTCCTAGCCAACATCAACAGCAACAACAACAACAACAATCAGCATAAGTGGGAAGAACCTGAAAGAAACAACCTCCTTCACCTACCTGGGAAGCATCGTCTCAACTACAGGCGGAACTGACGAGGACATCAAAGCCAGAATCGGAAAAGCAAGACAAGCTTTCATTACTCTCAAATCTGTGTGGAGGTCAACAGCACTCAGCATCAAAAATAAGATCCGGATTTTCAACTCCAATGTGAAGTCAGTGCTACTATACGGATCAGAGACTTGGCGAGTCATAAAGAGCATCTCAAACAAACTCCAAACCTTCATTAACAGCTGTCTCCGCTCAATACTCAAGATCAGATGGCTGGCCAGAAAAGATCAGCAACAGGGATCTCTGGCAATGAGCGAACCAATCAGGAACCGATTGTGAAACAAATAGGCAGAAAGAAATGGAGATGGATTGGCCATACACTGAGGAAACCATCAAGTGACATCACTAGACAAGCCATTACTCGAGTGGAACCCGAAAGGGAGGCGGCGAGTTGGTCGTCCCATGGTGGGTGACTTGGAGGAGATCATGCGAGGAGGAGATGAAAGCATGTGGACATACCTGGAGCAGGGTGAAAAAGTTGTCAGAAAACCGAATGCAATGGAGGTGCGCAGCTGAAGCCCTATGTTCCTCTAGGAACTAAAGGGTACAATAATAATAATAATAATAGATGCTTGGAGGAAATCGGCCATAGGAAGCCTTGCCTGACTTAGGTTTCGCGTTAGTTGGCACTCATCAATCAGTAAACGTGAAAGGACTCATGTCCCCTGTCTGAGATTCAAACTCACGTCACACAGTGAGTGTTCTGAAGTCAGAAGAGTATCTATTCTTATCTTTGGTGTAGACAAGTGCCAGTTAGCACGAAACATAGTTCCAAGACTCCATTATAGATAGGATATTGTTTTGATAAATCACACAGTGTTGTTATACAGTAATATTAACTGATGACCACGTTTCGAGCACAAATTATTGCCACTCATAACCATATCAAGTCAAATAACTTTTTCCCTTCATTTATATACATGAGTGGAATCAATGATTTGACATTTGAATAAAAATCAATATGGGATAATGTACATTCAGAAATAATAATATGAGTGTTATTGATCAATTACAATCAGATGGGAAATAAGACGAGTGTTTCTCATAGTCGTAATACTAAGTAACTTGTTAGAATGTTGTGATGTACGTGAATTGAATTGAAATAGAATTTTGAGATTATTTATTATCCTCCTCTGATGTGACTGACTGACTGACTGGTGTTAATATTATCTTCCATGCATATCTCTGGTATTTGCATTGAGTCGTTTCTGTTGCATGTGTTGGGCCTACACTGGGTGAACCAGTCAGGATTCAATAACCAATCTCTCTCTATCTCCACCTACCTATATTACTTCTTAGCATCTTAACCCTCTCCCACTCACCCTATTGTGTGGCTGAGTGTTAATGCATGCAGTGCAATTGCTGAGCTCTTTTCTAAATCAGTTATCCTTTCGGGATCAACCGTTCTAACCTTAGCCACTAAATTCTTATGTTCCGACAATGTGATTACCCAATGCCAGTCTACCACAGTGCTCAAGTTTTATTCTTATAGTTCCAAGGCTTCCTGTTGATTGCTCCCAACTATCTTATATCATTAAATCAATGTGCACCGTGATGGCGAGCTATCCAGTGGTATGGTGGCTACATTGCACACCTGACAACTGATAGAATTCAGTCTGCAACAAAGAAAAAACTATACACATGACACTAGTTACAAGTGTTAAGTCAGAGGTAGCCTTTTGGTTCACAGGAAATGATTCGGGTCACGCCTTACAGACTACCAGTCAGGAAATCTACCAGCTGATTTGCAAGACACAATTGCAAACTTGGTCATTATATCACTCCACTGATAAGAAGTGATGCCCAGTTTTTCCGTGAACCAAATAAAACACTATGGTGGAAATAATTATAATGGCTATTTTCTATATAGTGCTTTTAATAAAAAAAAATGGGGTTTTCAGCGTGTAATACAATATCGCATCCAATTTTCTCTTAAGATTTCATAGTATAGAGTGAAATAATTAAAAGGGCATCTACGATGGTAATATTATTCCACAGGAATATGAATAAATAATTAAAATTTAAGTTGAAATATTAACAGTAGTATATTAATGAAAATAATAATTTTTACGAGTTGGTTTGTGAGGATTGGATTTGCTTTTTAATGAGTTTAATCACGGATTGATATCAGTTAGACAACCATAGAAAACCTTCCAGGAAGTACTGGACACAGCTGTTTCATCACAATTTCGCGAACCATCGGCAGTACGCACCCACCATGTGTTCGAACCTAGGGAGATTCCGGTTTCGAGTCAAGCTCGTATACCATCCAGACACTGGGACCCGATTCAATGGCCAGCCAGTCCATGAATTCTAACTTCTACCAATTCGTGACTTAGCGTGACCGCCAACCAAAGTCATCGTTGGGAATTGGGTCTCAGTGTCGGAATGGTATACCAGCCAGCTTGCTTTGTAACCGGAAGTTCCTGGGTTCAAACACCGTGGTTTGGGCGCGTACTGCCGATGATTCCCAAACTATGTTGAAACAGCTATCCAGTACTCCCTATGACTGGTTTTCAATGGTCCTCTAATTGATATCAATCCGTGGTTAAACTCGTAAAAAAGAAAATAATAATAATTAATGAAAATGATCGTTTACTTAGTGTTTCACAGGATGTTAGTTGTCTCATACCTTACATGTTTCTCATCACATAAAATGTATGTCATTATAAAGTCTGTTAAGATTGATTTCAGTCCTTCCTTTGAGAATATGCTGGGGAAGAGTTGTGTTGCTGTGAAGGAAGAGGGTACTTAGAGTCTGACAAAATAATATTTGTTAATTTCTTGCATGAATCCAAGTGTCTGTATACAAGAATACTGACAAGCTGGTTTAGCGATACCCAAGTCACCTTACTGACAGCTTTTAATGCCCTTCACAATGTAAAAAAGTCTTGCTTAAGTCACCCAGGAAAGATTAGTTGGAGAGAGAGGGCGATAAGAAGAAATAGATAGAATACAGGAGTTAAGAAACTGTAGAAGTTGAGAATGAGGGATGCCAGACTGTCTTAACTTCCTAACGAGAATGAACGAGACGGAACATATTTCTAGAAATTAAAATAATTAGGGCGAAGACCAGGAAATATGAGAGCGAAGATATAATCCAAGGCATTTAAAACATTTGACCTAGTTTCGACTATAATACCTTCTATGTATGATACAAGAATAGTTGGAATGAACCATCTCATGCAGGTCACATTTGTGTATGAAAGGGAAATTAAAAGTCTGATTCTTTGACAAGGATCACAAACTAACTTCTCACAGGTAAGGTACTTATTTGGAACAATCTGATTGTGATGTGATCGCCACAGGAATATTCTCATCATTAGCACACTTAAGACAAATCACGTTAGAAGAAAGAAAACTTAGAATGGAGAAAGAACACCACAATGACTGCAGTGCGGTGATAGCCTTTACCAAACTCATTATTTGTAAAAAATCACTTCTCAATTTACCCAATTTGAGGTGATTGGTTCATCATAGTTACTGAGAACTGATTTGCAAATTTAGAATATGATTAACGATATCACCAGCTCACCCAAGTAGCTAGCCAGAAATTGAGTAGAATGAAGTGATTCAGCCTTCTCAGATGAATGGAACTGAGTACGCCTACGATGATGGTGAGGTTGGCCGGAAACGAGAGAAACTTTCGCCCGTTGTTCACATCATTGGTTATTGTGAGTAATGCTCAACTACTCATATCAGTTAATCAGTAGTATGTACTTTGAAATAATGGCGTGTTTAGCGGGCTGGTCTTGTAGATCATGAAAGTAGAGCGTCGAGCTAGTAATCCTGAAGTTGTTGGTTCGATACACTGCCATGATTCTGGGTGTTCTTTTTATTCCTTCACATTCACAGTGAAACACAGAGCATCTTCAAGCTAGAGGCTTGAAGTTTCTGAAGCAGTGTTGTTTATTTTTGCACGATAGGGTTGCTAGCCTCACTTTGGCTCAACCTTTCCTCTTTACTAGCTCTTAGCGAGGTAAAGGAGTGCATTGGCGGCCACGAATCAAACCCCGTACCAAGTGCATGGTTGGCGAGCATCCTAACCGCTGTGCCACCGCCACATACAGTGCCCATTAGACAAAAGTGCAGGTTGAAAGGTATGTACGGCGTATAACATGACTGATAAAGAAATGCTAGGGTAGTCACCTGATAAAGAGAAGACGTGGGACTATTAAACCATGGGGGCCTTATTCAGTGCTTGACATGAGTAAAACACAGGACTTTCAGTTTTGAAGGGTCATCAACAATGGTCTCATTATCACGATGTGGGGTTGCAAGCCTCACACCTATCTCTCACCCTTTTCTGAGCTTACCACCCGAGTTCTAACAGTACATCGGCTATGAAACGAACCCGCTTCAGGTGCAGGTTTAGGGAACATTCAACTAGTGATTCAAAAATGCACTCTACACATTGACCTTACCAGTCATATTCCTTCAGGTCGAAAGAAATAAGTCAAAACGAAAAAACAGCCTTCCGTACAAGGATGGTGGACCGTGCATTTCTTGATGGAAAAGCATTCTTAGAAGTGGTTTCACTCTTATAGACACACAAGAACATCAACTACAAACATTTTTAGTAATGTTAGTAGTATTTATGAGTAGTAAGGTTAGTAACACTTAGTTATTTCTCCAGTAAAAAATAATTATTTGACAACATATTGACATGAAAGTGACAAAGACAACATCAACAACAACAACAATAAGAACAATCCAACTGTCTGACTTACTGACTGATTGTCTTTCTCCACCAATTTTCTTTGTTCTGTAACGATTCTGTTCTCCTTGCAGTTATCCTTGTCCCACTATCAATATATCTACCTCCACCAGCGTTAATCGGATTAATCAATGTGAAATTTGTCGATGGTGGCATACATGATTTCATTTGATGTGTACGCCAATTCCGACGTCTTTCATATAGACCACTATCTATCGATTTAGTGGTGCTAGTCGTCGATGTGGTGGAAGGCGTAGTTTTATGACCAGTTGAAGTAGTCGGATTACTCGATGTACTCGATGCACTACTACTGGTGATCTGTGATATATTAGTCTTTAATTTTTCATTGTCCATTTTGTAATTTTATCAGTGGATTTCATTTCAAGATTATCTATCTATTTATCTATCTTTCTAATCCAATATAGGGAGGGATCTTCTCAAAGGTTCTGAGTAAATATTCTCAACAAACAAAAGATTGATAAACGTTACATAAACGAGAATAGTTAATCCCGCTCCCCAGTGTTTCTGTTCATATTTGTATCATTTTAAATAAGAAATACAAGCATTAAAGGACGTGCTTTCCATACAGGGACACTGAGACAACAGTTGAAGAAGAAGGAGGATATCGATTATAAAATCTCCTCTGATCTCGGATCAATTTCGATGAATTCCAATAGCATTTGTATATATATATATATATATGTTATATATTTGAATTTATGATATAAGCTTTTCTTTCCACATGCTGTACATATATTTTGTTAGTTATTATGTCCCAAAAATGGAAATAATTCTTTAACATGATTAATTATGATCTGTGTGTGGTATTATTAGACTAAATTAATTTATTAATTGTAGAATTAATTACTTTCGAGATTAGTGCTCACACGATTGTAATTTGATTGGTTAAAATTATACAGGCAATAAGTAAACTAATGGGATTGATATGTTATTTTTTCTTCTAAAACTGGCATTTGATTGGTTGTTTACATTTTTCGGTTTTATGTGAATGTATGTATGTGTGTATGTCGATTAATTTGTATATGTGTGTGTGTGCAGATGTTTGCAACGATCTGATTTGTTCCAAGATTTGATCACTCAAGAGATAATATCAGCTAGACAATCACTGGAAATCAGCAGAGAGTTTGCGGACTAACTCTTCGGCAGTACGCATCCACCAGCCGGGGTTCGAATCCAGAACCTTTTGGTTATAGAGCAATCATATAGAACAATTTCAGTTATTATTATATTGTTATTATATCCTTTAATTCCTAGAGGAACATAGGGCTTCAGCTGCGCATCTCCATTGCCTTCTGTTTTCTGCCAACTTTTTCACCCCGCTCCAAGTGTGCCCACATGCTTTCATCTCAGCTGAATATCACCTCCTCCAGGTCACACTCCCACTGACGACCGATTCGCCACTTCCCCTTTGGGTTCCAGTCGAGTAATGGCTTGTCAAGTGATGTCACTTGATGGCTTCCTCAGCGTATCGCCAATCCATCTCCATTTCTTCCTGGCCATCTGTTCTTGAGTATTGAGCGAAGACAACTGTTGATGAAGGTCTGAAGTTTGTTTAAGATGCTCTTTATGACGCGCAGTGCAAGTCTCTGATCCGTATAATAGCACTAACTGACTTCACGTAGGAGTTGAAAATCCGGATCTTATTTTTGATGCTGAGTGATGTTGACCTCCACACAGACTTGAAAGTAATGAGAGCTTGTCTTACTTTTCCAATTCTTGCTTTGATATCCTCGTCAGTTCTGTCCACCTGTAGTTGAAACGATGCTTCCCAGGTAGGGTAGGTGAAGGAGGTTGTTTCTTTCAGGTTCCTCCCATTCATGCTGGTTGATTGTTGTCTGTTGTTGTTGTTACTGCTGTTGGTGTTGGCCACGAATCTTCATCACCTCTGTTTTATCTATGTTCAGTTTGAATACTGAGATCCCATTGGGAAATGGCCACTCAATGAATTTCAACTTCTACCAATTCATGATTTTACCACAATCACCAGCTGGCGTCATCCATCGAGACAGTACTTGTCCTCACACACCCAACTTGGTGGACCTCTACCTCATTGACTGATGTCTATTGAATGGATGTCTTGAGGCTGTGTACAGAGACTTGCTGACTGGTAGTGGGATCCACCATGTCAATAGTGAAGCATGTGATTTTTTAAGACACATTGGTTGAGTGTAGTGGTATATATGAGAACTTGGTTACAGGGTTTCATCATAAACTGACATTGCTTAGAGAACCATTGAAAAACTAGTCAGCTGGTAATGCCAGAGAGCTGGTGTCTCCGTCCTACTTTGCGACTTTTCAGCAGTATGCACCCATACTACAGGGTTCCAAACTTGGACCTTCTCTTTTCAAGGTGAGCGAGCTCGTAGACCATTAAGCCACTCACTGGGACCAGATCTAATGACCAGCCCATAAATTCTAACTTCTGAGAATTCATGACATAGCGCGACCACTTCTCAGTGTCATCATCGATGAGTCACTGTACTCCCCTTCAACCTGTGTATCCTACTGGAATTTCCGGGTCACTGAATTCCAGTTCAGTTGGCTGTTGAGTGTTCAAACAAGTTCTGTCTCGTAACGTGAAAGTCCCAAATTTGGTCTCTAGAGGAGTCATAAGAGTGCACTGTACTGAAGAGTCCCAAGTTGCAGCAAAACAATCAGCTATAAACTGATCCCTGGTTTTCAGTGGTCATTTCAAAACTAATTTTGGATCATGATATCTATCCATTTCACCTTACACCAATCAGTTTGATATTTATACAAAAAAGAAAGATTTGTAGCTCTGGTGGATGACTTTGATGTGAATCTGTTCTCTTAGTTGGGTGATGGTTTGATTTTTTGGGAGGCTTCTGTTGTCCTGCTGGACAACACCTTCTTCAGAAGAAGCTTTAATATGAAGTGAAATTATTTGAATTCCTCATGACTGTGACATGCAACAGAATATGAGGGGGGCGATAAGATGGGAAATGTGTTGGACCGACCATAGGAGTAGTCTAGAAGATCTAGACTTCAGAAATAACTTAAAGTAGATGTCATTTAGTGTTTACACGAAACCCCTACATTCAAACGAATATTAGGACTTCCGATCATCCCATCCAATGACAGTTAAAATAGGATTGGTGAAATGTTTAAGTGACAGCAGGGCACAAAAACTAAATAGTACCAAAGCAAATCTCAGATAGGACGTGAGGCATATTAGAGAAGCTTTGAAACTTAATCATTACCCTGATAAATTAGTCGGGAGGTATGTGGGTAAATGTTAAAATAAAATAAATAATGAAAGTACTGATAGTGATGATAATAATGATAATAGTAATATTAATGACGGCATGCAAGTCAAATGTACGCAAAACAACACCAACAGTAAAGAATCTAAATCATCAGTAGTACTTCCATACAAGGAAGGAACCTCGGAAACCACCTTACGCAGAATTCTTAACAAGGTAAGCAGGAATAAAAGTGGCTGGCATTCGAACCACCCCACAAACTCAGTTAGAAACAAGCTTTGTCACTTGAAGGATCAATCCTGTGGAGCCTTTAAAACAAAACAATTTAGTTTATCTAATACCATAACTACAATGATTGTCAGGTCAAATGCATACGTAAAAGTAGTAGAACAGGGGCAGTCAGTCAGACGAGCTGAGCATAAAAACCTAACAGCAAAATTTAGAGTAGTTGACCCGAATAAGATAAGAAATCTAGACAATAGTTCAGCTATTGCACTACACCACGTGCAATTACACACAACCATCCGTAAAATAGGATGGGATAGGATGACAATTTAAAAATCTAATGTCACAAGATGACTGGAGGGAGAGATTGATAACACAAGCTTTGTTTGTCGATTCAACTGCGAACACGTGTAATACGAATGATTCAACACCTGTCAACCCAGACATCTGGAAAATTCTACTACTACCCCAACGACGATAAATAGGCGAGAAGACAAAGAAAACTATAAAACTCAGGCTTCAAAGTCGTATGATTACAGTTGATGAAATGATTATGAACAATAATGAAGTGTTTTCAAAACTGTGTCATCCAGTAAGTAATAATACTGTTACACTCACTGTGCGACATATCTAATGAGCAAACTAATTTGGAATTACTTACTACTACAGTGGTCACGTTTTACACATATATATCTATAGGCGAAAACCAGCAAGTTAGCAGAATAAAAGTAGGCAGTGTAGACAGGACTAAAAGTGATCATAGAGAAGATGGAAATGATGAAGATACCTGATCAACAACATCTAGGCGGCATGAATGAGGATTCCAAAGCGAGACAAAACCGGTAAGGCAAAAATTTACTTTCATTTGTCTTAAACCACCAGTATGGAATTCTCCTACAATCAGCATAAGGAACTAGATTCGGATTTATAATATTTATGTCAAGTCAGTCCTTCTATGTGCGTTCAACAGGCCAATGCAAACTTTTTTTTATCAACAATTGCCCACTTCGTTTCATACTTAAAATTAGATGGCCACAGACGATTAGTTGTTGTTGATTTGCATTAATTTTGATCAACTTTAGTGACTTGTGATTTGTTGATTTTGTCTTGTGGTATACTCTATATTAGTTCAAATATTTAATATGTGTCTGTTAAACGATGAATCATTTGATGAGTACCAGGCTTCTAGGATTTTTATGGCTACTGTTTGGTTATAAGCACACGCTAATGAAGAGTCCTAAGCATGAACAAAACAGATGTCTAATGATCCATGGTTTTCCTGAAGAAAAATATAAGGAAGGGAATCAATCCAAATCTGTATAAATCTGATATTCTGAAAAGTAGTGACATTTTGTTTCAAGTTTGATCACGGATTGATCTCGATTACTGAATATTGAAAACAAGTAGAAAGTACTGAAAATCTGTTTCGTCTTAGTGTGGGACTCGTCATCGGTGGGCTCCAACTGGATTTTGAACCCAGGACATCCCCTTTACAAAACAAAGCTCATAGATCCAACTCAGTGGATAGACAGTGAATTCTAACTGATACGAATTTGTGATATTAGCAGTGTGATGGGCACCAGCCAATATCATCAGCGAGTATCGGGTCTCACTCCTGACCGCATGGACCCCTCTGGTTATGAATTCTCACTAAGACCCAAGACAACGTCTTCGTGCAGCCAGTCACTAGCGAGCATCGGATCTGTTTTCAAGAGTTAGAGTGTAGGGATTTGATTTCGTTTCAAGTTTTAACTGATTAAAAATGCCGATTAAAATATTTTTAAGAGAATGGTTACTGAACGAAGAATACTCACATTTTTGATAACCTGCTCCTCTTCATCAGGCTCTACAGTTATATTTACATAATAGTAGTGAATGAATTCGTGTTATGAACACCATTAATGTTGGTGTTTAAATAACATCGAAGCAATAATAATATCAATGGATTACAGTTCGAATAGCATCACCAATAACAATACACTTAATGTCAGCAAAATTAGGAAAGATTATATATTACAAATTCATGAATTTCAAGTCTCTACTGAAGGCCAGTCAGAGCAGTAAGTAGTAGTGGCTGGGCTTGCTTATACACACTTTTGCACACAAAGCACTGGTTATTTCATGCGAATTGTAATAGCCCATTCTTCTGCATTCTTGTGCGGTACTTCAATGTTTTGGGCAGTTTATTTGGCACCCGATAGATAATAGAGAAGGATTCTTCAAAGCTGGCTGGATTTGCAGACGGTTTGTACCAGATGCTCCAATATCGAACTGTTGATGGTTTTTACAACACCTTTACTTAGCCATACTTGGAAATATTCTCGAGTGAGCACGAATAATCAAGTTCCTAGAGCAACGGTCGATATAACTCGCTCCACTACAAGCGCAATTGAATTGGTAGATACAATTG